CCTTGAAACCTTCATAGAATCCAAAGGAATTAAACATGAACTAACTACACCGTACACTCCAAGAAGCAATGGGAGAGTTGAAAGAGCTAAAAGAACACTGTTAGACAAAGGCCGAACACTTCTTGCAGACTCCCAATTACCCCTTCACTTCTGGGCAGAAGCTGTGAATACAGCTGCATATCTGTACAATCTAACTCCCACAACCAATGACCCAGACACTACCCCTATGGAAAAATGGAAAGGTAAAAAGCCATCCGTCTCTCACATCATGAGATTTGGTTGTGAAGTCTTCTATAAACTCGAGAATCATCAAAGACACAAACTAGAAGCTAAATCTAAGAGAGGAATATTTGTAGGCTATTCAAGATGCAGAAGAGCTTATCGAGTATTTGATATCACAGCGAGAGTCATTCTTGAAACCGCAGACATTCACTTCAGAGAGAACAATAATGTCATCTCGGAAGAAAAACAAAGTGATAATAATACGGACACTGACACATATTTATTCATTCAGGAGGATGAACAACTGGACAATCATGTTCTATCAGATGTTGATATTGAAGAGCCAGCACCAGATACCATGATCAACAGACAGACAGAGTCAAGTGGATCAGACAGACCACAAAGAACTCGAACAATACCTAAAAAATTCGATGACTACGTTCTGGCTACTACGAATGAAACCATTCCGAAAGACTATGATGAAGCCATCGCATGCGAAGACAAGAAACATTGGGAGAACGCAATGCTTGAGGAAATACAGAACATGTACTCGCATCAAGTATGGGAACTGGTACCTAGACCTGTAAACGCTAAAGTTGTCAAAAGTAAATGGGTGTTCAAAATATCTAAAGACCAAGAAAACAAAAACAAAACTTACAAAGCTAGACTTGTTGCAATGGGATACAACCAAATCCCAGGAAGAGATTACAACGAAAGTTTCAGCCCTGTAATTAAAAATGCCACCCTCAGGACTATTTTGTCAATGGCAGCAACAAAAGATTCAGTCATTAAACTATTTGATGTGAAAGCAGCCTATCTAAATGGAAATATTGAAAACACAATATTCATGGAACAACCTGCTGGATTTGTCCAAGACAGAAACAAAGTTTGCAAACTCAACAAAAGTATTTACGGTCTACCTCAATCCGGAAGATCGTGGTATGAGAAATTCAGTCAAGTACTTCATGACTGTGGACTGGAAAAACTTAAATCTGATCCTTGCCTATTTAAATGGAAGAATGAAGACAAATACTTCTATGTAGGGATATATGTGGATGACTTTATCACTGTCTCAAATTCTGAAGATACCTCAAACAGATTCATCATTAAATTGAGACATCACCTGGAAATAAAGGATGTAACATGTAAAGGCATGTTTTTGGGAATCAAGATCATACAAGACAAGGAGGGAATTTCGCTACAGCAAAGCCACTATGTACAACAAATATTGCAGAAATATGGAATGGAAAATTGTAAGAAAGTTCCAACACCAGGTTCCAAAGAAATCAATTTGGACAATTATATTGAAGATGACAATTGTGATCAGCACACTTACCAAGAAGCCCTTGGAATGCTAATGTTTCTAGCTGTTAACACCAGACCCGACATCGCTTACATCACTAGCAAACTTTCACAGTACTCCAGACAACCAAAACAGATGCACTGGACAGCAATCAAAAGAGTGATGAGATACCTACGAGGAACAATTGACCTAGGAGTGAAATTTGAAAGAGGAAAGACTGGAATCCTGAAGTCCTACACCGATGCCGGCTGGTCGACCACTCATGATGGAAAATCCTACGGCGGATATGTATTGAAGCTCGACGAAGCAACTATAGACTGGAAAAGTAGTAAACAACCACTCGTCGCCCTCTCCACAATGGAAGCGGAAATGATAGCTGCTTGTGAAAGCTGCTGTCAAATCAAGTGGATAATAAACCTGTTGCGAGAGCTGGAAGAATGGAATTTCATGGAAAAACCAACTGCGGTCTATACAGAGAGTCAGTCATTGATCAACTGGATCTCCAGCCCTAAACAAAGCAGTCGCCGTAGACATATCAACAGAAAGTACCACTTCTTAAGAGACTGTTTTGAATCCAGAGACATCTGCCTTCTGTACAAGCCATCTCAGGACCTGGAGGCGGATATCTTCACAAAGGACCTATCCCGAGACCAGATGAAGAAACACATGGAGAACCTCAGCATCGTGAGAGTAAAGACAAAGTAAGGAAGGAATTGTTACGCAAACTTTGACTTTAATCATCATCGATGCTACGTCACTACTATGACGTCACTACTTCCAACTTCTACCTTCAAACTTGCTGTTATGTTTACCGCTAACTTGTTTTAACAATTTGTATGGGAACAAGTCGTTCCTTAAATAAATATATATTTGTTTTTATCTAAAAGGGATGTCCTCGTAACTACAACATGCGTGAGTACAAAAACAACTAGAAATCCTTAGAAAGAAACATCGTTTTTTGCTAAGCCTATATCATAGATCAATATATATTTATTTCAAACCGGTTTTCATTTTGCCCATAGAATACCCCAAGAAACCTTGTACCAGATAACCACTTCTATGTTAAATTCTTAGGATTTTATATTTTTGCCTTGTGAATATCAAAATAATATTAGTTCGCTCAGAACTGACGATGTCCTTAGCATCAAACCATTAACTTCAGATGGGGCGTTTTGAATTTGACCTAGCTGTTGTTGTGTCGGTTTGTCACGAACCAAATATGCTAGTTTGAAGATAAAGTCAATGGATTTTACAATTTTTGTGTCAATTTAAATAGGTGATATAGCTAGTTCATTTTCATAAAATTACCCTTTTGAAAAATTTATTATCAATATTTGAAAATATTTATTGTTTCTGATTCAATATTGAGGTGATGTAAAATATTCTGAAGATAAATGTGGCCAAGGTAATTATTTATCAGGGGTTTTAATATCAAGCATTGCTATCTCTGCCATAAATAATTATTTATCCTCACCATTATTTTTATAGTGGGTGATAAACTAATTGCATTATTCAAATGATTATTTAAAGGGATAGGTTCATATTTTAATAACTATATCTATATATATAAAAATGAATGTCTGTCTGTCTGTGTGTGTGTGTGTGTGTGTGTCCTCTATGGATTCAAAAACCATACATCCAATCGCCGTGAAAATTTGGGATATTATTAGGCATATCCCCGGAAAGGTTTACGAAAAATAATATCTTGAATATCTTTAATATCCTTAGAGTTATTTGCAGATTTGTAGCTTTAACTCGCAAGCACCATTGAGACGGAGATAGGCTTAGGGTTGCTGTTCCTGATGACCTTGGGTCTGCCCCACCCCGTGAGAGAATGGATTCGCCCGGCCGCCAGTACCCACCGACCAATCAGGGCAGAGTTGGTGTCACAGCTATGCCAAGTAGACAAGAAAAAAAGCCTCGCGGGAGCTTGCCCAAGATGACCTCCGGGAACTTCGTCCATCTTACATAAACGACCATGAATTTATTCAACCTTATCGAGTATTTTTCAATGGACCGGGAAAAAATGTTCACTAGATAAAACGATGATTTAGTAATGTAGAAAATTAGGAAAGACAAAATTCAGAATGACACGGCACACAGGGACCGGGAAAAAATGATCACTTTATCAGTTTCAAATTATCAAAATATATCTATTTCTTTTTATAAGTTTATAGAGAATTGTTTTAACAAATGTTCGTTAGACAGACCTTTACTCGGGTACCGATTAATATTGATTTTATTCAACTTATCGAGTATTTTTCAAGGGACCGGGAAAAAATGTTCACTTTATCGAGAGATTCGTTAGACAAACCTTTACTCGGGTAAAACACGGGCGAAGCCGGGTACATCCGCTAGTTATTATTATAAAATACACACTCATAGAAAAATTTGAAGAAGTTGTACCTTTTAGCATGTACGAGGATTCAGGCGATAACTTTTAAATATATTTGATACACATTGTATACTCATCTCATATTTTTTTATAGAATAACTCTTATCCTGCTCAAATTAGTATGAAATAAAGTAAGAAGAGGAGCTTCTTTATATACAATTTATTCTCGCTAGCTTTCGAACCTACATGGTTCTTCATCTGGCATGGATAGCTTTTACACTAACAAAAGTACTGCAACGCAGGGACCTTATATACGCCTAGGAGGAAATTTACATACTTAAGCTAATGGATTAAAAGAGAATATATGACGCCGACGTTAAAATTGGAATATTTACATATAAAAAAAAACGAAAACAAGATTTGTAAAATTATGAATATATGTAAAACCAGCCAACATTGTTGCGACAAATGAGTAAAAGTCCAAGGGCACAACCAGGGGCCCCACTCAATGTCACAACCAATGGGGAGGGGATAGGGGGGGGATTGGGGGGGATGGAAGTGGGGGGGGGTTTGGGTGGGAGGAGTAGTGCCCACTATTAATAAAGGACTTTGTATATATCGGGAAGTTCTATTTTGCGGTTAAAACTGTTGGTTTGTGAGGAAATAATGGATTCTAAGCATAGTCTGTTGTGTTTGTGGTTGATATGTCAGTATTTAATGTGTGAGTTCTGTCATAGTAAAGCCTGTAGAAGGACGTCCGAAAGCTTGCTAATAATGTTCTTATAAGACACTTCTCTTCAATCGTCGTGATATTTTGCTACACAATACATATATTGTATACATATTTGATGTTTTAGAGATATAATGATGGGAAAAGGTAGCCTCGCTTCCTTTTTATATCAATATATTATCAACAGAATATGATGTAAATATTTAGTGTTTAAAATATCAATTTATTATTTCAAAGAACACTAGAAAATATTAATTGTGAAACGACGTTTGACTAGTTTTACCGCAAATGTTTCTTTTGAACGAAAAATGGTAATTTATTTTAAGGAGAAATAACAACTATTTCTATCCTTAGGGATGAAGTATGAAAGGATGATTTGTGAAGAGTAATGATGAACGGAAAAATAAAAGTTGCAGGGATGGGAATAGAACCCACAGTGTTCCGCTTACCGGGCAGATGCCATGTCCACTAGGCTACCCTGGACATATTTTTTTCGTTTGTAAATATTATATAAATTAACTAGAGAATATACCCGGCTTAACCGGTTTGTTTTACTCAAGTGAAAGTTTGCCTAAGGATTGTTTAAACTCTTATATAATTTTTCTCTTCTCTTTTAATAATAATGATAAATGAGCAATTTTGATGTAAATGTTTGATGGAAATGTTTTATATTTTCTCTCTTTCTCCTTGTTAATATCTTATGACTAATCCTTGCGACCTAAAATATAGAATGAAGGAATCAAGGTGGATGACCCTAAAAAGTTACAACATCGTGTAACAATATATACGAGGGGTGTCCCATAAGTCTGTTAAGATATAAGAGGTTAAAACTAAAAGAAAACCTCCTTTAACAAATAAAAACTTTAACCTAAAGTTTTGATATAGTTTGGGCTGCCTCGGGTGATCAAGCAAGAAAGAAAAGGAAGACAAAACCAGCGGCTACACCTATAAAGCTCTTCTGCTCTACTACCTCTCTACCTTTATTTGAACAGCACGGCTAATTTATATACATTCAAAGGAAAGTTACATAACAATTTATACACTCAAAAGAAATTTACATTCCAAGTTATACATTCAAAAGATATTTACATACTATATGCCATGACTTTTAACATACCCCCACCTTTTCTTTTTTGTAAAAACAAGAAAGAAAAAATCTGTTCCACCGTGATGGGGGGATCCTGGTAGGTGGGACACCGTTGCAGGGAGCCCAGGCTCTTATCCAGGAAGGCCATCTTCTCCTCGGCACACTGCTGCACCTTCTCCATCTTCTTCTGCATCTAGGTGATCGTACACAGGATCCTTGGCTGCGTACATGTCTAGAGCCCTGCGCACCTGCTGCAAAACCCTTCCCAGCTCCTCCAGCGCAGGCTGCCTCTCAGTATACTCCCCAACTCACCTCACCACCGGGTCTTCAATTTCCTTTGAGCCCGTCCACCCTGGCAACATAGCCACTCTTGATCTGGTTCTCCCCCTCGTCATAGAACCAGTTCTCTTTCTCCCTCAAGACATTCATTATGTGACTCCGGTCACTCTTTGTCACGTAAGGCCTGTACAACTCTTCCAGGCCTGCCCTCATCTCGTATATATATTCCTCCATGGAGTTTTTGGCATCCACCCTCTCCTTCTCCAGCTTGTCCTGAGCCACCATCTTGCCCTCTCTCTCAAAGAGGTTGTCCAGCTCTGTTCCTGAAAGACTGTACACCATGGCATCAATATCCAGGTCTATGGATTTCATCTTTGACTTCTTGTTTTGGGAGGAAGTGGCAGAGGCCTTCTCGGAATCAGCTTTGGAAGCATCTGGCATTAGTTCCTTTTCTAGATAGTCATTCAGAGAAAGACCATTATACGATCTGCAGGAGTAATCGAAAACAGGACGGAGAGGTGTCATCTTACTATCAACCCTGAACACCGGCCTATGCGGTAAATAATGGCGCCTCTCTTGAGGCCTATTCTACACACCACCGGAGATTGCCCCATAAGCGTCCATCCTCTTCTTCCAAAGAAATCTGAGGTAGTCCCGATCATTCTCCTTAATGGATATCATTTTGAAATATCTTCTTATGTCCACCAAAATTCAAAACCTATTTTCCCGATTTTTTTTTTTCTTATTTCAGGGATTCTTTGCAGTATATTGGGTATCTTTTTTAAATACCGTTTCAAGGAGAGTCCGTTATGTCCTCGATAGGAAGCGTCGTCAAATACTGGCCGTATAGGCGTCGTTTTGGATTCACTCTTAAACAAAAGGCGACGGGGCAAATAGTGTCCTTTTACCTCAGGTGGATTTTCATTAACTCCTTCGATGAACCCTTCATTCAACCAATCTTTTGGATCAGTAATTTTTTCTTCCACCTTTGAATCAGTATCTTGTTCTTCATCTATATTTCTCGCTTCATTTCCATCATGATCTTTTCCCTTGTTGTATTTATCGTCCTTATTCTCTGCATAATCAGATTTATTTATGATTTTCAAATCTTGGGATTCTGTTTCTTTATAATTATCCTTTATCTCAAATTCCGTATCTCCAGTTGGTCTTGCTTCCACCAATTTCCTCGATGCTTGAACTTTGACAACTCTTTCCTCATTATCATCAATCGATTAAGTTTCATCATCTGAAATCTTCACTTGATCAGCGCCTTCAGCTACCGCTCTAGAATTGTTTACCGATTCATAACCTTTAATTGCAGTTCTAGAATCCTTTACTCCATTACCCTTGGTTTCAGCTTCCGAATCCCTTATTCTATCGCCTTTGGACTCAGCTTCAGAATCTTCCTTATTCTTTAAATCTGCATCTTCATATTTTTCATTAGCATTAATTTTACCAAATTGCCCCCACCTTGAGAGCCAATCCCCTGGGTTGCCCTTAAATTTTTGTAGCTCCACTTTTGGCAACCCAATAGTTATTTTAGATTCGGTATTTACAACCGAATTCGCCGTGGACTCCACCAATGAGCCGTCGACCCTAACCCTCGCGGTTTCACACCGAGACAAATATTTATTTTCTATGTCAAACATCCCTTGAATATAGTTTTCACAACCCTCGAATTCTTCTTCGATTTTGTCCTCCGCTATGGTTTCATCCTCCAGAAGGAGCCCTTGATACCTTGAATCAATTTCACTTATTTCCTTAGAGAGAGCACAAATTCGGTTATATTTAGCTCTATATTTTTCTGTATCAAAATCTGGTTTCTCTATCTCAGTCCAAAACTCTGTGGACAGCCGAGTAAAAATGGCTCTTTTGGGTGCTCTAGCCCTTTTTAATATATCAATCTTCTGCATTTTTTCACCGTATAATATTCCTAGAAGCCTTTCCTTTTCATCAACTTCTACAACGGGCTTTTTCCTAACTTGAGCTCCAACTTCTACAACAGGTTTTTTCCCAACGTGAGCTCCAACTTCTACAACAGGTTTTTTCCCAACCTGAGCTCCAACTTCTACAACAGGTTTTTTCCCAACCTGAGCTCCAACTTCTACAACAGGTTTTTTCCCAACCTGATCTCCAACTTCTACAACATGTTTTTTCCCAACCTGAGCTCCAACTTCTACAACACGTTTTTTCCCAACCTGAGCTCCAACTTCTACAACAGTTTTTTTCCAAACCTGAGCTCCAACTTCTACAACAGGTTTTTTCCCAACCTGAGCTCCAATTTCTACAACAGGTTTTTTCCCAACCTGAGCTCCAACTTCTACAACAGGTTTTTTTCCCAACCTGAGCTCCAACTTCTACAACAGGTTTTTTCCCAACCTGAGCTCCAACTTCTACAACAGGCTTTTTTCTCAACTTGACCAGCCAATGCAGCCCACCCGGGGACGCCAAAAAATGTTAAGATATAAGAGGTTAAAACTAAAAGAAAAGCTCCTTTAACAAATAAAAACTTTAACCTAAAGTTTTGATATAGTTTGGGCTGCCTCGGGTGATCAAGCAAGAAAGAAAAGGAAGACAAAACCAGCGGCTACACCTATAAAGCTCTTCTGCTCTACTACCTCTCTACCTTTATTTGAACAGCACGGCTAATTTATATACATTCAAAGGAAATTTACATAACAATTTATACACTCAAAAGAAATTTACATTCCAAGTTATACATTCAAAAGATATTTACATACTATATGCCATGACTTTTAACAAAGTCCGTGGCCCGACCATGAGAACGAAATATTAGAAACTAATAAATTTTACCATATATACCTTAAAGCCTTGTATGAAGATATGTAAATTTTTAAGTTTCTACAACTAACCGTTATTTTGTTATGGGTTCTGAAAGAGGACAAGAAACAGGAATAATCTAAAATAGAGACAAACGAGATTCGTGCTGTAATAAAATATCTTTGTAAGAAAGGAATGTCGCCGAAGGAAATCTATGAGGATATGGTGGATACATTAAGGGAAGATGTCCCTTCCTATAGCACAGTAAAAAATGGTTAGCTGCGTTTAAATTAGGGAGGATCAGCACCGAAGACGAACATCGACCAGGAAAACCCATTGAGTCAGTTACTCAAGAAAACATCGACAAAATACATGATTTGGTTATGTTGGACAGAAGAATGACAGTTCGTCAGATAGAAGAGACCTTGGGCATTCCAAAAACAACAGTGGATCGGATCATGAGAGAACACTTGGGCCTCAGGAAGTTTTCTGCCCGTTGGGTTCCCAAACTTTTGCCACCCGATCAAAAGGCTGTAAGGAGAAAGTTATCTTCGGACAATCTTGCGTTATTTGAAGCCAATCCAGAGGAATTTGTTGATATATTTGTTACCATGGATGAGACTTGGGCCCATCACTTTGCACCAGAGTCCAAGCAACAATACATGCAATGGAGACACTCCGGTTCCCCTCCCCCCAAAAAGCCAAGACAGTTCCATCAGCAGGGAAGGTTATGGTGTCTGTCTTTTGAGATTCCGAGGGTGTAGTTCTTCTAGACTTTCTGAATAAGGGTCAAACCATCACTGGCAATTATTATGCAATTCTTGTGAAGCAACTACGAGAAGCTATTAAAGAAAAGAGAAGAGGAAAGTAGTCCAGGAAGATTGTTTGCCATCAAGACAATGCTCCGAGTCATCGGTCGCTGCAAGCCATGGCGGCTATTTATGATTCTGGCTTTAAATTTTACCACATGCGCCCTATTAACCAGATCTAGCTCCGTCTGACTTCCACCTATTTCCTCATTCGAAAAAAATCACTTTCTGCCATTCATTTTAGGTCAGATGAAGAGGTCATTGATGCTGTAACCTCATTTTTTGAGTCACTTGAAACATCGTTCTTTTTGGAGGGCATAAAAGCATTAGAACATCGCTGGAAAAACTCTATAGACCTTAAAGGGGATTATGTTGAAAAATAAATCATAATAATTTTATTAGTCATTTTCTTTATATGTCGGGCCACGGACTTATGAGACACCCCTCGTATATATATATATATATATATATATATATATATATATATGTGATGATTTAAGACCATGGAATTGTTGTAAATAGTCTAG